TTCTTCTTTTTTCAAGTGTTTCATCTTTAGTACTTTTAACAATCCTTTCAAAAGTACAGAGTTGGGTAATACATACTTTTGCAAAGGATTTTTGCAGTAATAAATCGATCATTTGACGATTCCAGACCACATGGCATGGAGGAAACTAATAGACCATATTATACTTTTTGATACTTTAAATACCCATTTTCACTTTTCAAGTGCCTATGATACCTATTGTCTCAGCTAGGATATATAAACATGGATATATGAATTAAACATTCTTATCATACGTCACCTTTCTGTTGATGATGATTTAAAATTGTTTCTACGTCGAGATGCACAACACCAAAGAATGAGAGGAAACTCAGAACAATGTGCTCAGCGATCTAGCAAATACAAGGTGACCACGTGCACAATTTAGGCTATGATTCAGCCAATCAGAATTAAAAATTATACTGTCAATCTGTCAGCTTATCAGCTTCCGCCAACCCTAGGAACTTCTAGGAACTATACAGTAATTAGGATTTTATACAGCAAACTGTGGATAATATTGGATAATATCTGACCTGCAAAACATTAAAGCAACGTTCTCTTCAAGTGTAATTGAAGTTTAAAGGCAGTATTTTATTGGGTAGGTTTATGGTTTAGTTAATAAATCATAAAAAACCATGTCACTTTTCAGATATGGAAATATTCATCAAGGACATGAAAGTTTTAGTAGTTTATCACGCGGTAGGCAGTGCTCTTTTATGAGTTTATCGGCACTTTTAAACGTACAGTCTGTTCCACTACTGGAGTGGAATTCCACAATTATCAACAAGATCTTACTGCAAGGAGATATCATGTATTTGAAAGCCATCCAAAATGGTCAAATTCCACAACAGGCGTATCCATCATTAGATGACATGCCAAATATTGTTCACTATTATTCAGTCACAAACAATTTATTTGGGCCCATTGTGGCACAAACTATAATTCATGAGCCCATTGAGGCACAACATAATATTAATCTACCCATTGTGGTAGAGCCCATTGAGGCACAGAATGAAAGTCAGTCATGGTATATAAACTATGGAAAAGAGTGGCAAGGACTCATAATAAATGAGCAGGAAGTTGAGGCTCCGTATGTTAGTCTTGATGTTGCTTTGATGAATACTTTTGCAAATGACAAGTATGCTATTATAATTTTAGAAGGCTATATGATGGCCTTGATACATAATATAGATTCTGCATTCTATGTATTTGACCCACATGCTAGAAATTCATATGGCATGCCATGCAACAATGGCACTGCTGTTCTCATAAAATGTGATACGCTCTGTGAATTAGAACATTTCCATCTACTGTCAAGGGAACTAAATACTAATGTTTTTGAAATTGTTCCAATTCAGTTGTTATTGAGTACTGGCAGTTGTGATCCAGTGACAAGTAATAATACAAACAAACAAACCAAACTAAGAAATGATAGAGAATATCATAGATTAAAACGTTTAGAAGAATCTGAAAATACCTGACAAACTAGAATGAAAAATGATTGAGTATATCAAAAAAGGAAGCTGACATTAGAAACTGAATGTCAAAAACAACTTCGTCTAGAAAATGCTAGAAAGTATAAGAAAAGAAAACAAGTAGAGCAATTACTAAATGCCAATAAGCCCAAACATGTGAGTCAACATGAATATTTAAAAGAATTTGATATTTTTAAACATGGTGGTATCCATGAACAAAGTTGGGCAAAACAAAACATTGCTAAAGTTCATAAATCTAATGATTATTTTATCCATAAGTGCACAGTTTGCAAAGAGGCATGGCCATTAAAGTCCAAACCAAAGTCACCTACAGAATACATCTGCTCAAGATGTTCTCGGGATAAAAAAGCTCCCAAGAAGTTTTCTTCTCAAAATTCAATGATTCCATCTCCTGTTCCAGAAGAGTTAAATGATTTGACTCAAGTTGAGGAAATGGTAATTGCTCGTGCCCTCCCAATCATGAGAGTTTATATTAAACCTGGTGGTCAACGAGGTTATTCAGGGCACTGTATTAACATGCCACAAAATGTGACTGAACTTGCATCATCTTTGCCAAGATACCCCAAAGACTTGGCTGTGATTATTGTCAAGGTAAAAGGTAGAGACAACACCTTCAAAGATGTAACAGTGCGAAAACAAAAAGTGCACAATGCCTTAATTTGGCTTATAAACAATAATCCACATTATTCTGAGTTATTAATTAATGAAGATGCATTAAAATCATTACCTGAAAATGATGTGCCACCAGATCTCATGACTGTTGAGACTAATGATGATATGGTTTCAGATGACAATGGTTCACCTGATTCTGGTCCTCCCACTGATAATCCCTCAGAGGATGTTGTTTATAATGACTCTACTGAAATGAGTAGTTTTCTACCAGTTGGTGAACAACAACAACAGGAAATTGATGCTGTTAGAAATCAGCTTTCTGAAGATGAGCCAATGCAATGGCCCTCGGTTGAAAATGAGCCATTTAATGAGTATCTGGTACCACATCTGGCCACAATGGCTTTTCCAACATTATTTCCTGATGGAAAAGGTGATCCTACTAATCAAGCGCTATTAAGAGATGTTCCTCTTCAGGAACGAATAAAGCATCTTTTGAAATTTGCTGAAATTATTGATGGTAAATGGGTCTACCGTTTTGCCAACCACCCCAGATTTTCTTATTGGGCTTTTAATATGATTAAACGAAAACGAATCTTACAGCAAAGTGGGATATTCCTAAAACAAAATCCGGGTGAAGCACATCTCACCATTGATGAGCTGCGAGAAATGGCCGCCAGTAACAATGCTAACATCTTTATGTCTAAGATTTCTAGATATATTGGCAATATTGCTGGCACTAATGCTTACTGGAATAGAGTAAGAGAGGAACTTAAGGCTATTATAACTAGTGTTGGAGCACCAACATTATTTTTTACCTTCTCCTCTGCAGATATGCATTGGCCTGAACTACATGCTCTATTTAAAGCTGGTACTGATTGTGAAACTGGTAATTCTACCAGTGAGGTCAGACGACAAAATGTAATTAACAATCCCCATCTCGTGGATTGGTTTTTCACTCAAAGATTAGAAAGCTTTGTTAAACACTGGCTTTATGATACACTTGGTGCAAAATGGCACTGGTTTAGGTATGAATACCAAGGTAGAGGTAGTATCCATTGTCATGGTACTGCTAAATTAAACAATGATCCTGGTTTATGTCAACTTACTCAGACTGCTTTGAAAGGTTTCTTAGCTCAAAAATTTAAAGATGAAAATGAGTGTTCTGGTACAACAGAAATAGACCAGGATATTGAAGCTGGCCAAAAGGCAGCTGAAACAGTATGTCAGTATGTTGATTGGTTGTTATCAACTGTTAATCCAAATCCACCAGATGAGGATATGTGGATAAGACCTGAAACTCATCCATGTCAAAGGAGACATTGTGACATTCCAGAACATGACAAACAGTCAGATTATGATGATCTGTTAAACATGGTTCAACAACATACTCGTTGTAGCACTAGCTATTGTCTAAGAAAAAAGTCAAATGAAACTGAGTTGAAATGTAGATTTCATTTCCCATTCGATCATTGTCCTCAGACAAAACTAGAATTTGAAAAAATTAACACATCAGGTGATAACGAACATTATAGAGCAAAAATTGTGACTAAACGAAATGATTCTAGGTTAAATAACCACCAACATCTTCAACTCCAAGGATGGAGAGCGAATTGTGATATTCAGGTTGTTATTGATCACTATGCTTGTGTTGAATATCTCACAAAATATGCTGCTAAAGGTGAACCAAGGTCACCTTTGTTAAAACAGGCATTTAACTCCATTTTGAAAAATGTTCACAGTAATACTGACCCTCGCAAAACTATTAAGGTTGTTATGAAATCTCTTGGTGAAAGAGACTATGCAGCTCAGGAAACAATGCACCATTTGCTATCTTTGAAACTACATAGCTCATCATTTAAAGTGATGCCAGTAAATCTAAATGGTTCGCGTAGAGTGCGTAATACAGCAAATATTGAAGAGGCTGAATCATGTACTGATTATTCGCTTCTTGATGTTTATGCTAATCGTAAGCAATCTGAGAGTTCACATGAAATAATAAATATGAACTTTGTTGAATTTGCTACAACATACAAAGTTGTTAACAACAAATTAACTAATTACCAGAGAATGTTATACCAAGAATATTTCCAACATATTCTCCTAATCCCAAAGGTCCAAATTTTGGACTTTACTGTAAATACCAACTTTTAAGGTATAAACCCTGGCAAACAACCCAAAACAATGCATTGGGGTAACCAACAACCAACAGATGATATTTTAATTACCTCTTGGGAAGAATTCTTGCAAACACCTTATGGACAATCTAATGTCCCAGACTGGTTTGACAAATCTGTCATTCAAAGTCAAGAACCAGAAGATGAACCTTCTGAAGAACAGGAGAGAACTCGGGAAGAGTGGATGATATTGTCAGATCTTAATACTCCATTTGACAACTCAGAGCAAACACCAGAGTCAACTCATGACTGGCATCTTGACAGAGCCAATTATCTAGAACAACAAATCCACGAAATGCCAACATGGATAAAAACAAGCAAAGAAGGATACACTATTGGTGAGCAATATGACATTGTTGACATCAACAGTTTTAGTGAAATGCAAAAACTTGCATATGACATTGTTAAATCTTATTTTGATGATACATCATCTTGGAAAGAACCATTATGTCTTATCATAAATGGTGTTGCAGGTACTGGTCAAAGTTACCTTATTAATGCTATTAGAAACCATTTACAAAGTAAATGTGCAGTTACTGCTACTACAGGTAAAGCAGCATATAATATTAGAGGTGTAACTGTGCACTCTCTATTAAAGTTACCTATAGGATCAAGAGGTAGCAAAGACCTGACAGGACAAAGTTTGTGTAGATTACAAGAGAGTCTTAATAACATTGACTACATTATTATTGATGAATACTCTATGCTTGGCCAAGTTACTTTTGGTTGGATAGACAAGCGTTGCAAACAAGCAACTGGTTATAATGACAAAGTATTTGGTGGAAAATCTTTGATTTTAACTGGCGATCCAGGTCAATTGCCACCAGTAGCAGATAAGCCCCTTTATCATGGTAAACCATCAAATGCTGTTGGTGAACAAGGTTATCAAGCATATCATATGTTTGAAAAAGTTGTTAAACTCACTGTAAATCAACGTGTGCAAGGTATGACATCTGAACAAGTACAGTTCAGAGATTTGTTGTTACGACTTCGCAAAGGTGACTCAACAGTCGATGACTGGAAATTACTTCTGACACGTCAACCATCGAATGTCACTAATTTATGTGACTTTCAAGATGCTACTAGACTCTTCTATAGTAATGAACAAGTTGCAAATTACAATAATGAACAGTTAACAAAACTTGAGCATCCAATTGCTCATATTAATGCTCGCCATTCCTCTGCATTGGCAAAAAAGATATCTTCAGATGATATGTCTGGGTTACAACCTGTTGTGTTTCTAGCAAAAGGTGCTAAGGTGATGTTAACTATGAATTTCTGGTCAAGTGTTGGCCTCTGTAATGGGGCTACTGGAACAGTTATTGATATTATCTATCAGAACAACCATCAACCACCTGACTTACCTATTGCCGTGATAGTAGAATTTGAAAACTATAGAGGACCTGTTTTTAATGAAAGCCAACCATTGTCTATCCCAATATGTCCAATCACTGTCACATCACAGACAGAAATAGGTTTCCATGAGAGGCAACAGTTACCTCTTAGGCTTGCTTGGGCTCTAACAATACACAAGAGCCAAGGACTAACACTTCCAAAAGCATGGATAGATATTGGCAAATCTGAAAGAACTGCTGGAGTTTCTTATGTTGCTATTAGCAGAGTAAAATCACTTGCATCTTGTGTCATCGAACCTATGACGTATGAACGATTAAAAAGCTTGAAATCATCAGCTAATTTACAATATAGGCTTCAAGAAGAAAACAGGCTAGATCAGTTAGCACAGACAACAAACAGTAGTGCATTAAGTTGAACAAACTATTGAGTGTGATTAAGAGATGGGATTACAGCCACAAATCCCAGCTGTATTTTATATTAATGCACCAGTCAATGTAAACCCCCGCCCCCCCAACCCCGGGGCTATGCGGGGATTAGCGGGGCATTAGCAGTTTATTATTGCCCCTATGAGCGGGGCATTTGCTTCGTTTAGATCTTCGTTTAGAATACCGGGGCTTTTGGCGGGGATTTGACACCATGGATTTCATGTATATACTTCATCTTGCCCTCATTATACTGGCTTCGACTCAGCACATGTGATTTTTTTTGATATTTTGATCTTTCTATATTCGCTTTAAAAGTTTTTATAAACACATACGTTGGTAAGTTGTTTTTATTGTTTATATATATATATTCATATAGATATTTAATATAGAATTCGTATTAAAGCAAATAAAGGCAGTGCTATATAGACATGAAAATTTGAATATTAAACAATGCATTGATGATTGATTTGTTAATGAAAGCCTTGAAGGGCGATTTATATAAAATATTCATGATTTATTATTATAACTACTGCAATGGCAAGAAAAACACAAAAACAATTCTTCACTTTTAGTAAATTCTCTTTTTGATACTTGTATTGTAGCATTGCAGTTTAATATTTTGTTTTATCTTTTATATTAAATATGTATAGATTGGAATACAATGTCACTAAGGCCGTTTAAAGTATGGAATTGTTCCAGAACTGTGAAGAAGACTGTGGTGGCATCTTCATTAGAAATGTTGATTGGGAAAGGTTGGTTTTTCATTTGCTTTATATAGGCACCCATCAACATTTGTAACCCAGGTAGGGAATAAATAGGGTTATTAGTATTTATATATACAAGTATTAAAATAGAGTTATGGATTTTCAAATTATCAATTCCCCATGTACAGATCTTTATTGATTTTAAAGGTGATATCCAGTCCGTAATGTAAACAAATGCTTTGTTTACATTTCGAACTGCTATATTTGTAAAATATGATATACTAACTGAATATCTTACACTGTTCTGGTTTGCTATGCTCGTAAATGAATATAAACCAGAGTTTCAATTCAGAAAAAGTTTGAAAGATGCGATATTTGGGCAATGTTTATATCGGCGCGCCCCGCCCCCCCCCCCTTGTTATGAGCAGAACCGATGCGCAGAACCGACTAGATATCATCTTTAATGATTATGTTTAGAATTGATTTAAACTTGATAGAATAGGAGGGTTTCACCTAGTTGTATACAGAGGGAAACACTTGGTGGCCAACTTTACATGTATTGATGCTTTATGTTTTGTGGAAGCTAGTAAATTTCATCAAATTGCATACATTTGCCACCAAACACAAGGTAAATACATATAATGAACAATTAACTCACTTTGGTTACTGTGCTTCCTTTTGGAGTTGACCACCAAGCACTAAACATACCATGTGGCTGAAACCTGAGTGTAGACCCCTATACCTGATCTATAAACATTGTACTATGGTATATAGGACATGGCCTGCTGTACATGTTGGGTCATTTTTGTTGTTACATTTATTTAGTAATAATTAATTTAATTATTTTTCTTAAGGCGCTGAGAAGTTAGAGCTTCAAACGAAAAATGGGGTAAAGGTAATGCTTGAAGAGGATGGTTCGGAGGTCGACAAAGAATATTTTGCATTCCTTTCGCAAAATACAGTATTGCAGCTGCTAGCCATTGATGAGAAATGGGAAAGTGCTGAAGGTATATTAAAATACAATTAAAAATAATTAGATGTATATTCACTGGTATGAAAGTAAACTAAACTGCACATGTATACATATTTTTATATAATACTGTTTAATTAATATTTTTGTTCCAGTAACAAAAAATCAGTCAGTGAAGTTTGCAGTGAGTGATGTACGGAAAGAGACTGTGTCAACCTTTAATGTGAAATCCAGACAGAAGACTCTCACTAGTACTGGGGCACTTGGACCACCCTTGTCTGTGAGTATTAAAAATTAGATTTACTATATTTTATTTTATTTTATAAAATAGAGTGTAATACAATTGGTTATCAATTTATCATACAATAAATTATTTATAATAATCTTACATGTGATGATTATTGCTTGCTAAGCACTGCCACAGACTATATAACACGTAATAGAACCTTCTTGGCTTATTACATAATTTTATAAAATTAAAATATTAAATGATAGCAAATTACAGGTAATCCTAGAAATAAAATGGCAGGGTTGCAATGAGTGCACTCCTTAATGTTAATGTACCGTAGGTATGCTGTTGTGTGCAATTATTTTTTTACCCCAATTTGGCACTGGGTGTTTGATTAATTTCTACTTTTGCAAACTTTTTGGTACAAGCTGCTTTAGGCTGACCTTCTGTTTACTTGATAAAAAGTCCGAAATAGTTTTGGCATAACATTATCAATTGAAAACAAGTTCAAATCTACTACTGTAAGTGACCAATGGAAATGAAAGGACAACTAAACAGTTTCTTTCAAAAAGACAGTACTTGATAAATATACTTTCTACTAGAGTGTAGGTTTTAATACATACAGTAGGCCTGTATTTTGATAGTTTGATTTAACACTAGTCTAACAAAATGCTAATGCTATTGTTTCACTACACAGTGTAAGGATAACAACTGAAGTTCAGAAAATCACAATCACAGGGCACATTGTGTCACAATTATAAATTGAGCATATTGCGGCTTGATGGGTTAAGAGTAGGGATGTGCTGGATGCGGATGTTAGTATCCAGTAAAAAATGGACATCCAGCAGTATACAGAAAAATTCGGCCGGATATTTACCAGATAGTACTGGGTCTTTTATTATAACCATGAAACCAAGAAAAATGGGTTCTTTGTCTTTTTTGTGTATTAAGACATTTTGAAACAGGAAGAATTACTGCACACAGTCACATTACATGAAATTGATTATTTTTCTGGTCTGTGAACATTAATGTGAATATGCCCCTCCCTCCTAATTATCGTTCTGGCCACACCACTTCTGGTATCTGGCAAAACAGTATCAGGCACATCCCTAGTTAATGGATAATAATCATCGTGTACATTTGCTTATAGCTTTCTTGCGAAACACCAAAAACTGTGACTTTGCCAGTGGACACTGGTACACTAAAAGACCGGGCAAAAATCTACTCACTCAAAGACACAAACGAGAAGTTATATAATTATCATAAAGCAATAAATGAAGCTGCGTATCAAATAGCATTAGAAGACCCGATGATTGTAGGGAACAAAACAGAGTTAAATAAACTTGCAGTAGCAAAACTCGATATTGATGGATACTCCTACCGCAAAAAGAAGTCAAGATCAAAACAATTAAATCCTGACGTAGACACACCAAAGCGAGCCAAGCTTCAGAGCGATTTTCGTGCAAGTAGAATAAAAGAAGTAAGTGAAGATTTGAAAGAGGTTGATAAGCAAGTACAGCTGTGTACAAAACAACGGGATAGGTACAGCAATAGTCAAGAGTTTAGTTCAGCTATTGCCATCTCTGAAAAGATAGAAGGTTTGCAGGGAAGGAAGAGAAAGCTCCAAACAGAGCTTACAATGCTCCAGCGTAAAGAAGCTAGATCTCAAAAGTACCACAGTGGCAAGAAAGTGTGTCGTTCTAATGAGACTTGCTCAGCTACCGTAACTTTAGAATCGTCTGCGAATAATTTTGTAACAAGGGGTAACAAGAATAGCATATCCGTGTTCTTCACACCTGCAAAGAAAGATAGTAAGACGAAAGAAGCAGAAGCAAGCACAGTGACGACAGTGGAAGATAGTGATGATTCCATTTCTGAAGGAAATTTCGTACCTGATGAAACAACAGTCCAAGACGAAAACACACGACAAGAAGAAGCAACCCCAGTGTCGACAATGAGAGAAAGAGATGGTGAAATTTCTGCAGGAAATGTCGAAAATGGTGAAACAACGGTCCAAGAAGATGACGCAACCGCGACGTCAGCGATGGGAGCTAATATGCAGATATCTTTTTTAGTTCAACCAATGCTCTGAAACAGTTTGCATCTCCAGTGAATACTGAATCAGAGCATAATAATTCAAAAGAATTGGAGGGCAAATTGAATGACAGCTCTATGTATAATCGTTATGTTAATTTGAAAAGTTCTGGTTTAAGTGACATGACGAAGTGTAAAGTGGCAGATGGCATTTATGTATCGTTGGTTGAAGAAATGACGCTGCAGGACTTCATTGCAGTTAGAAAATTATATTGTGAAAAAACCCACGAAAAACAATGCACTGAGTGCAAAAACCTAATTATTGCTGCTGAGGAAATTGTTAAATGCGTTGTTGTTGATCTAAAGTCTTTGTGTTCAAGTCATTTTAAACTATCATTATACAGAAGCGATAAAGCAGTCAGGCGGATCATGCAGTTGCCAGTGGTGGTAATAAGACTATGTCTTAATGGTCCTGGTTCTCAAAAACTCTACGTAACAGAGAAAATGAAGGGTGTGGAATACTCTATTTTCCCAGTCCTAGTTAATAAATTTGTTGCCTCGCGTATGGGACAGGTTACTGATCTAAGCAAAGAATTACTGCAGGGTTTGTGCCAACTGGCAAGTACAGAAAAAGACAGATCCTTGATCAAGTATGCGGTTTGCCGTTCACGTAGTTTGGGTAGCAAGCAATCTCAACATTTATACGGTGTTTCAAATTTCAAGAATCTAACGGAAAAAGTTGAAGCTTCTCTACACCAGGCTCAGCTTATTAGAGATGAAATTATGTCATTAGCTTCAATAGAAGAAAAAGCCATCCTGCAATCTTTTGGAATAGCTGTGCAAGACAGTGCGGAATCGTCTGAGAGTGCGTCGGGTTCAGATACCGAGGAACATGTTGAGTTGAATTGGCTCAGTGATGAAGCTTCTACAGACGAAGAAGCAAGCGGCAAATTTAGTTCCAAAGAAAGTAAAGAAAATAACCTTACAGACGAGATTCCAAATAATGATCACCGCACTGTGAACCCTTCTCCCTCACATGAACAATTGTTGAACATTCTGCGTGAGAACAACATGAATTGGTTTGCCCTTGTAGAGGAAGTTAAGCTTCGTTTTCGTACATGTATTTCAACAGAGGAAGAATTACATCAGACCTTGTTGGACTTTGTCTCCTATCTTTCCAACAGTAACCTTAGTGTTGAAGACAAAAGGCAAGCTGAGCATTCCAGGCAAGCGTTTCTTGAGCGTGAAAGAGAGAGAATTGCCGGTGGAACAGATGACTTTGGGGTGCATACTGATTCAGAAAGTGACAATCCCGAGGAATGGGCTAAGGTTTCTGATGTTTTATCAGTTGAAGGTCAATCATTGATCCAGAAACAGCGGAAGATCCTGAAGCGAAAAGTTGCAAGACGAATAGCTAAAGAAACGTCACATTCTTCCATGTTAAAGAGAAAAATTCCCAAAAAAGTTTCGAATATTTTAAAACGATTTCCAAATATAGGAATAGACATAGAGGAATATGTCAAAGAGAAGAGGGTGGGAGCTGATCAATGGAGAAGAACTGGTGTCCTTACGTTCTCTGGAAACCTAAAGAGAGGACAGAAAGTCACTTACAAGCGTATACAGAAGTATTTAGAGGAAAAATACCATACACAGATAGGCTATGGAACAGTAGTGCAACTTTGTGTGGTTCGTAACAAGAGACGGATATCTGCCAAGCGCTACCGCGGAGTAGCTAAAGTGACTTGTAGACGTGCTCGAAAAGGATTTACCGTGAAACTCAATCCAGATTCCCACTATTGTTCCGCCATGTACAGAAATTTAGATTACGTTCAACTACAGAATGGCAATGACAAATTAATTCTTAATCGTGATGATCAAGCTGGATACAGACTAGATACAACGTACACACACCGGGGACATAAATCTATTTCATTGGAAGGAGAGCAAGAGTTAACATGCCGTACTGATTACGTCAACAAGTATTCAAGTATTCTTCAAACCACGTCATATATGTTCCTGAAAACAAATACAACCAGTGAAAAGTGTGTTGGTGTTGTCAAAGCGCAAGCAATATTTCCGAAAAATCCATCTCAACATGCAGAAGATTTCAGAATGGTAGAAAAACGCGAAGAAATGAAACCTTGGATTTCAGACAAGCCAATAGACTGTATCCGAGTGGATGGGGCATCGGATGAAGGCCCTGCGCATTTGGAGGTCCAGTTTCTATGGACTGAACTTCACATACAGCGAAAGAAAGTGTGCACTGTAGTGACCACAAGACAAAGTGGTGGATCTTACCTAAACAAAGTAGAGCTCATGAATGGCTGCCTGGCAATTGCTCATAGTAACCTTTACATTCCGTCAACATTAAATGGTTCAAACTTCACTTCTCAAGGACTAGACTCTTCACAACTGGAGAAAAACCTAGATTTGGCTACAGATGTGTACATAGACCGTGTGGATGGTGCACCATGTGGCGATAGCAAGATTTCTTTGGTGAAAGGTGTAAAGCCTGATGAAGATGCGTCCCTGCATAAACGGCGTTCAGATCTTCTGTGTTTTCTTAATGGGACAAAGAAAGGCCGAGCAGAGTTAAAGAAATCTAAACCCAGCGTATACGAATACTTTGAAAGTATTTGGGCTGTGAGAGAACGTCATATGGTTAAAGGACTTCCGAGTCAGTACGCATTTATGCTTGTGACATGTAGTAACAAGGACTGCATTCATCCATTGTGCCAGAATGGTGGGGGTGAAATCCAGCACACATGGTTTAAAACGGGACCGCCTGTTTCAATGTTCCCTCTTCCAGTGAAAGATCCAGATAGACCCTGGGGAGGACAGTGCCAAGAATGCAATGGAATATGTTCTGGGCATTATCGTAAGCCACAAGATACAGTAAGACTCATTTCAGGAAAAGGTGTCTCAGTCTGTGATAGCCTTCCTCCGTCCGTAGTCCTCAAAGAGGAATTCAATCGCATCACGAAAGCTGGCGAAGCTACACTTAGTGACGAAATGATTACCCGTTTGGCAATGAAGACGTTGCTTGACGTAAAAGAAGTTAGAATGTGGATGGACCATCTCAAAATGGTACAAGAAAGAAGAAAGGAAGGGGCTCGAAAGGCTGCAGAAACTCGACGAAAAAAGAATGGTAAGTCAAATAAATACCGTATGCTCACTATCTCAGTAGCAGTTGTTTTGATTTTAGGACGAGTAATAATCAAATATTGTTTTACTTAAGTAGCTGCCAACCAAGAATCCTCAGCTGTGGACAAATATTGCTGGTGTGAAGGACCTGATGAAGGAAAGATGATTGGATGTGATGGCAGTAATTGCAATATTCAATGGTTCCACTTCGAGTGTGTAGGGATTAAAAGGGCTCCTCCGTGCCAGTGGTACTGTCCAGATTGCCAAGGTTTGCCATTTTACATTAATAACATTATCCTTGGTAATTAACCTTTCTCACGAAGGCCAAAATACGTCATTTTGGGAGCACTGTCTACCCTCGTCAAGAAGGTGAACAGTTAAAATAATGGGATAGGGGACTTTTTGAATTTGTAATTGAAAATCTACCATTGCACAGTACACATAACTTCAGGAATTTCGTATTTCGGTGTGTTTATATCTCAGATTGGGAGATGCAGTACCCAAAGAATGGCGGATAAATCCAGCGTGAGAAAGGTAAATTTGCTTCATAGCATTTGGTAACTGAACTTGCAGCACATGTTGTGGGCAAATCAATTATCAAATTCATATAGGTACTAGACAGTTCTTGCAGTTGATGTGTTATCATGGAGAATTTTGGCAAGTATTTAAGTCACATTCCATTATGGTAAGAATTAGAAGAGATTTCTACATAACTTGTGGTACATCAGTACATTGTAAACTCGTACAATATTTGAATATTAGAACCCGAGGCAGAACAGAGCTGCTATTGCTCTCAACCCGAGTATGGGAATATGGCAAGATGCTATGGGGAAGAATGCACAAAGGTGTCTTTCCACCTCCCATGTATTGGTTTAACAGTTGTTCCACCCAATTGGTTGTGTGATGAATGCAAAGGTACGATGTCGAAACTGTTACATATTCCATCAAATTTCATCTCTTCAAAGCATCCTACTATAAAGCATCCTACTGTTGTTTTTTCACAGCATGTACCGCGAAAAAACAAAGGAAACGCCGGAAGAAGTGAAAGGAAAGAAATTTATTGTAACAAACAACGAACAAACAATTTGTTTTTTTTCTGTCCACATAGATACATATTAAATAAATGTTTAGTGGGAATGGTATTAAAAGTGTATGATTCTTGTGTTTTATGTACTATTAAGTTACACTTTCCTTAGAAGTGCTTACGTCACACGGTTTTCAATGCAAATATATACTAGGCAAACCTCTTCCTTACATGCTTTCCACATTACATTGCAATTAAATAAAATGTCAGCCTAATTTTTCACCTCAGACACAGCCGCTTTCTTAATATGGTTCTCAAACCCCCGCTGGGCGGGGCATTTGTCTGTTTTACCTGGCTCCGCATGGCGGGGCATTAGCTCCGGTTAGAAACGAAAATATCTAATCCCCGCCTAATGCCCGGGGTTGGGGGGGCGGGGGTTTACATTGACTGGTGCATAATTAAATAGTATATGTATTGTCAGCATTCATCTAAACAAACTTTAAAGCCTTTATTATCACTGTATGTATGATTTCAAATATGATCATTGGCAAGATAAAATGGTAAGTTTTGTTTTTCTTTAAAATTATTTTCCTTTTGTAACTCCCTTTCCTGTTCCCACCTTGCAGAAAGGAATACAGTTATTTAAGTTACTATATTTGTAAGTTAATTTCTTATACAATATTTCTTATACTTCTAATTTTTGTTTTGTTATATAGTTTTGGAACACTGATTGAAACCATTATTAATCATTACACTACTGCTGCCACCTGGAGAGCTGGATTACACAGAAATTTTTACTTCAACAAAATATTTGCTACCAAATAATTTTATATGGATATATACTTCATCATCTGTAATGGAATGAAATCTTCTATATATATGAAAAGATATATTTGTCAGAAGTAATCCTGTGTAATGTGCTTCAAAGTTGTTTTGGATTGGCAACAATTTGCTGTACATGTTATGGATTTCCTGTATCATCACTGGACAGATATGATTTATGAAACATCTGCATACATGGGGCAAAGAAAAGACAGCTCCTGTAGCAAACATTTGTTTACCAAAAAGTAAAATTCCAGATGCAGCATCTACAGCATATCTAACAAGAATAGTCAACGAATGACATGACAATGACTTAGAGACATTTGGTGAATTCCAAACTATTCTATTTCTGATAGCATATTTTATTCTATTGATGTTCAGAACTTCAAATCCATCATCGTTGGTACCAGAAACTCAGTGTTGACAATAATCCACTCAAATGTGTTGGTTTGTGAACTGCAAGTAGTTTTCATACACTTTTCAAAACGAATGTTATAATCTCAATTGTGACTACAAAATATATTGATACATACAGTGTCGCTTTGTATGTGTATAACTATACAAGTTAATATTCTATTCAGTTCATGTGGCAATAGTAACTCCTAGTCATAGTACTTGTTGTTGTATAATAAATAAGTACAGTTTGTATCCACCCAGCGATGTCACTATAGACTCATGCAAACAAAAAGATTTTCTATTTACAGTAATTGCAATTTTCTTAACGTTTTGACAACAAAATTAATTAATCCATAAATTAGGATTTAGTCCTTTCTAAAATTTCAGAGTGGCAAAAAAGCTGCGGGTAGCCGGGTACCACACATGACTGAGGACAGTAGTATCCTCATACCTTATTTTAGGCATAATCACTAATTGTGCATACTGCATTGAGTTGCATTCTGCCCTACTTTATTATTTTACTCTCTCTAATGCCAGACAATTTTACTCATCAAGAGGAGAGCACTGCAGGTGCTAAATGACTTAAATTACTGATAATCCATAAAAATCGAACCTCTAACCCTAATCCAATTCCTACTTTAACCCTAATCTAATTCGTACCAATTTTTCGGTTTCACTACGGCATTTTGCAGTGAATCTGACGGGCGGGGTCAACCTAAAATGTATTGATGCTTATGCTGTGCTGGAGTGATCAAATGATATAGGAAATTGCATGTATATGCCACTAAACACAATGCCAACACATACAGCAAACAATTAATTCACTCTGATGACTTTGTCTTGATTCAGAGACGTCACATGAAACCCGAGAATAGATTTGAAAAATGTTCCTTAATGTAAGGAAATTTTGACAATTCACGTGACTTCTGTCACGTGATCAAACATATGATGCATATTGTCGTCACCACCCTTGACCTGACCCTTTTGACTTTTGAGTCTTCCGTACTAAACTGGGCGTTCTTCATGTGGATAAACAGTAAGTCTTTTTCACTTCTTTACATGCTTTATGTGTGAATAATCTTCATATAATACCACAAATATAATACCATATTTATATTACTTTATAAATACTTTTCAGATATTTTAAAATACTGAGTAAACTCTTTATTAATATGGACCCAAAAGGTGATATAAAGCAGAGTAAGTAAAGCAGTCATGAATACCCATTGATAGCGATTTGCACAACACATTCGCATTGTGCTATGCATATTTTGCGCACCATTAACTTTGTATGCATAGCGATGTGGGCACTTCGATATCTGGTTCAGATGCGCACTATGGGTCCTATATTACAAGATGGTGATGAATACCAACTTCACCCAAGGCCCACCTTCTCCCTTCGGAATAGACGTAGATAATGAGTCCATACATAGATATAGATAAGACTTTATTACAACAGCGTATAAATTACGTAACAGTATACATGCTAATAAACTTGTAGCCCTCATAGTATTTAAAAAACAGTATCAATAAAACTAACATTAAAATGTATCAAGTGTATCTAATATATATATCTAAACCTAAAATGTGAAATACATTTCTGATTTTGAAGAATTTCCTGAAACAATACATCTTTAAACAATCACACTGTCTAATACTCTAATTAATGAAGACCCAACTTTTTGCTCTGGGAGAATAATACCCAAGAAATATCAATCATTGCTTTGACGGTTTGACCCCATCCTGGCATCACTCAGCCCATCTTGGGGTTGCCTGATGACAACATGATGATACAAGTGATGATGATACAAGTGTCATACAAGTGTCATGGCTGGCAATTGTGAGCTCTCTAGAAAATTTGTATTTTTCGTCTTTTTACTCGTTCTTTGTGGCGATCGGCTTAGTCCTGTTCAACCTAATAAGGCTTACACCGATTCAGTTAATCTTAGTATCTGTTTGGATATATCTACTGCCGTTAAAGTGTATTCGAAACAAGATTAGGCTGCCATTGAACCGAGTTCAACCGTGTCAACAACCGTTGGGGCGATTATTCTTACGCGGCAGTTCCTTTTGGTCAACTTGATTCTCCTATGCAACGATATTTCTACTAACCCTGGCCCTGAAGCAAGCGGACTGATATGCTCTTCTTGCCTGAAAAGCATTAAGCGACCACATCAGCCACGCTTACACTGCTCGTTATGTCACAAGAGCTTTCATCTAAATTGCTTAGACGAGAGCTATGAACTGTCCAAGACCTGTCGATTATGCTCTGCGGCTTTGCCAAATGATCTGATTGATCCTTGCTCAAACAGTGATACTGGCTTCAGAAATTATAAAGCAACGTGGTTTGAGAATAATCCATCAAAATATCCGAAGTGTTATTCCAAAGATTGACGAACTACGAAATATGTTTGTAAATGAGTTAAATTCAGAGATCCATATTATAACATTAACTGAAACTTGGCTTAGCAAACAGATTTCTGATGGTGAAATTGCAATACCAGGCTATAATGTGTTCAGAAAGGACAGAGAAGGGAAAGGTGGTGGAGTACTTGTTTTCATGAGAAGTGATTTATCCGCTGTGAGAAGAGGTGATCTAGAAAACGCAAGCGTGGAAGGCTTATGGCTTGAGATTTTATTACCTAAGTTGCGTGGGATTCTGCTTGGAACATTTTATAGACCTCCCAATTCTTCACAGTTTTATGATTTGGATTTCATGCCTAAGCTAGATAACATGTTGGACATTGCAGGGGTACAACATTGAGAAATATTTGTCTTAGGAGATTTTAACTGTAAATTTAATGTCAAGAAGGACAATATAGCAGAAACTAATCAATTAAAATTAATTTTCAAAACGCATCACTTAACACAGCTTATTAAAGAGCCCACTAGAATCACCGTTGAAGCTAGTAATCTGTTGGACTTATTAGCTTCTAATAACCCCCGGAACATTAGTAAATCTGGCGTCATTACTGTGGGCTTGAGCGACCATGACCTGATTTATTGTGTTAGAAAATTGAATTGGAGAAGAGGACCAGCTCAATTAAAAACGTTTCGTAATTATGCAAAGTACAACCAAGACGAATTTTGCAAAGACTTAAAAGATGTGGATTGGAGCGCTCAATTAAATTCCAATGAGAATAGAGAAGTTAATGATGTTGAACTTATGTGGGAAACATTCAAAACCACATTTACCACGGTCGCCGATCGCCATGCTCCGAACATTACTAAACGTGTTCGTGGTGTTGATAATTGTCCATGGATGACTGGCGAAATAAAACATGATATTCGTAAGCGCGAGTATCATCTTAAAAAGGCTAGAAAGTTAAAATGCAACGAACATTGGGATAGTTATCGTTACTACAGAAATGGCGTGTCCAACAAAATTCGAAAGGCCAAAGCAACTTACAACAGAAAACTTATTGAAGAAAACAAGTATGATCAGAAAGCGTTTTGGAAAACTGTTAAAAAGATTCTTCCTGGGGAAAGAAAGAACATTCCATCAGGTATTATGATTGATGATAAACTTTCGACTGATAAATACCAAATTTCAAACGCTTTTAATACATACTTTACTGGCGTTGCAGCTAATTTGAAAAGTTCACTTGGTCCCGTATTAACGTATATGACTAACATGCTCGCTTCCTTTCCACCGGAGAAGTGTTTTCCTAAATTAAAATTTGATAATGTGCCTGAATCTTTTATCTACACTCAACTTCGATCACTTAAAAGTGGCAAACCTGAGGGTCTGGATAATATCTCGCCTCGTCTCCTTAAAGATGCTGCAGACATTGTTGCTTATCCATTGACTCAGATCATAAATGCATCTTTGAATCAGGCTAGACTACCAGCGGACTGGAAAGCAGCAAGAGTAATACCCTTGTACAAGGCTGGCAAAGCAATTCAAGTTGGCAATTATCGACCCATTTCCATCCTGCCGGTGATCTCCAAGCTCATTGAAAGAGTGGTTCAAGTGCAGCTCAGCAAGCATTTAAATGAGCATAATATTTTGAGCCCTTTTCAATGTGGATTCAGAAAGGCGCACTCCACTGAAACTGCTGCTATATCAATAACTGACACTATAAAGCGTAATATTGATCAAGGATTGTTAACGGGAGCCGTTTTTATCGATTTGAGTAAAGCATTTGACACGGTTGATCATCATCTTCTGCTTCAAAAATGACGTTACTACGGTATTGAAAATTTGGAACTTGAATGGTTCAGAGATTATCTGACAAATCGGAAGCAAACCGTTGGCTACAAAAATACCATGTCTGAATTCCAACCAATTACATCGGGCGTGCCACAGGGCTCTATCCTTGGGCCCCTGCTATTTATATTATTAATAAATGATTTGCCCTCAACGGTAGCCCATTGTACATTGCTTATGTATGCTGATGATACAGTTCTTTTCTACTCAGCTAAGGATGTCAACATTATTGAGGAAAAACTCAATAAGGATCTGGATTCAGTTGGGAGCTGGCTTAGAGAAAACTCCTTGTTTATTAACAATGAAAAAACTGAATGCCTACTATTCGGAACTCCTGGAAAACTATCGAACGTTGAAAGCTTTTACATTAGCCTAAATGACTTTATTATTAAGCGTGTAAAAAAATTCAAGTATCTTGGTATATATCTTGATGATTGTCTCAGCTGGAAAGATCACATAAAAGCTGTTGTGTCAAAGGCTGGTAAAAGGATAGGAATGCTACGACGATTAAGACACAATCTAACTACTCATAGTGCGAATGTTGTATACACCTCATTTATACGTCCAATTATGGAATATGGCGATACCGTTTGGAATTGTTGTGGCAAAGTAAATGCTCAGGAGTTGGAAAAATTACAAAATCGTGCTGCGAGAATAGTGACTAAATGTAACAATAGTGATACAGCCCTATCAAATCTACAGTGGGCTAGTCTCCAATATAGACGTGAAAATCATGTTCTTAAACTTGTTAAAAAGTCCCTGAGAGGGGAGTGTCCTCAGTTTTTAAGAAACTATTTCATTTTTAATAAAGATATTGTAAAACGAGTAACTAGGCAGAGCAACTTGTTACATCTTCCAAAAGTCAGAACAGAAACTGCGAAGCGTTCTTTCTATTATAATGGATGCATTGTTTTTAATAAACTTAATTCTTCTAATTTAGGTCAATTTTAACTATTATACCAGAACTTTTAAAAATTTTAAACTGATATATTGTAATGTAACATAATATAATAATGTAATATAGTTAGCAAAATGTTATGTAAATTCTTTTAAATTATAGGGCTCCCATTGATAACAATAATTTTTTTTACTGACGGGACTACCCTATTAAAATAAAAGTTTTCATTCATTCATTCAACACACACCATTGGGTTTCATGAACTACAACCCTATTGCCTAGGACTGCCTCAATTTGAGTTTAGTCAGTAAATCTATGCCAAAAACCTGTATTAAACTATCATACATTTATTGTTAGTATTTTAGATGAGGAATTGTTATGCTATGTGCATGAAGTCACCCCTGTGCAGAAATCCGGGAAAGTAAAATACACCACTTGCCAGCTGCAAACATCTCAGAATTCCATGATGAGGGCAATCTGTTTTTCACCAGAAAAAACAAGTCCCTTAAAGTCGGCAATGACAAATAAAAGTCCCATCAAGATAAAGAAGTTTGACTACAATGACAAGTTCAACAACATTGTGATAAAGAACAACACTTCAATCACCCCACATCATAAAGCACTTCCTTTTGATGCAACTCCAGTTTTGCAACACCATGTTCTTACAATAAAAGAGTTGCAAACAACCTCACCTCAGCAACTAGTAACCATCAAAGCCACAGTAAAGAATATGTCAGGTGTGAAAAAAGTTACTATGGACACAACCACTCTAAGTAAAGTATCGGCAACATTGGTGGATCCAACAGGCTCAATCACAGGTGTCTTCTGGGAAGAGTGGGTCAAGTGTATTCAGCAAGACCATACCTATCTGTTCACTAATATAAGGGTGAAGAAGGACAATTACACCGGCGAATTGTTTGTTAATACTGCCAAAGAAGGTTTTAATGTTCAAGAAGTGGAAGCTTTCACTGAAGAATTACCTCAAGCACAAGCAAGTATGCTGCAACTGTCAACAAAGGATGTTTCTGCAGTCGTTGTTGGTGTAAAATCCATATCCTCATACTACACCTGCAATGCTTGTGGAGGGAAAGCTGAAGAGATTGGGAACAAGATAAAGTGCGAGTCTTGTAATCTTCGTCAAAAAGTACGACCTGAAAGCAAGCATTGGTATTGTCGCATTTTTGTAGAAGATATTCAAACAAAAGAAAAGATGTACCTGAGTGTTTTCCACCAGCAACTCCTTCAGATATTTCAAGCTGGTAACCAAGAGCTTAATGGAGCATCTACTGAGATTGATATAGAAGACTTTCTTTTGAATTCAGATGAGCCATTAAAAATCAGTTACAATATCTCAAATGGGAAAGTTACAGATCTTTTGTCATAAAACATTTGATTAATAAAGATGTTATAACAAACAGTTCGAAAAGCAACAAAACAATGCTTTCAATGCTTTTTGTTTCCTTTCTTTTAATCTGTTTCATTGGACATTGGACCACTTTATTGAGTTTTAATACTGTATTTAAGTGCATGTTAATGTCATCTTAAACTAAGCAGGTTTTTCACAAATATATTCCAATTTTGTTCTAGCATGGCCATATTAACAGTAACCTTTACAAAGAAATATATTATTGTCTTGCTGTGACCATGATAACGATTTGACTGTATTATATGCAAATGTGGGGTTCCATTGGATGAGAGTTTCAATCACAAGGACAATGCTTATCACTCTTTTTGAAATGCTACTTCCATCCTCGTTGATCCTGGCTTTATAAAGCTGTCATCAAACGAGAACAAAAACCATTGCAAGTAAACTTGTGCTAACTTGCGATGGAGCCGATTATGTCCTGACTTGCGATGACGTTCTCGTTTGATCACGGCTTAAGGCAGCACTTTACTTGCGATAGTAACTTCTAGTTATACACAGTGTATTTACAGTATGAGTTTTGATGTTTTGTATGTAAAGGCAGCGGCAATAGCTTCACTAAATGTTATCATCTAGCGCAATTGCTCCCAAAAAAATGAATAAAACATGAGAGGAAATCGTTCTATTAGAGATTTTTTTTTAAACAAAGCAAAAGCCAACAGGAGGACGATAACCCAACTCTTTCTGTGTCTTCTGAATCTGATAATGAAACTGGAGATCTCAGACTCAGCAATTCAAATCAAGGTAGGCACTTAATATTACTATTGTTTTGACAATATCGGGAATTGTGACAGTATATTTTACTATTCAGTATTCACCCTACCATAATTTTCACCGGCAACGTTTCAGGTGTAGTTTCTACAAAACAGCTATTTCAATTAAGGTTGTCTTCTCAAAACTCTTATTTAAACTCTGAGCACACAACGAATATCAGAGTATTACAGTATAGACTTTAAACTCATAAAGTATTTATTATAGGCTTCTATATCTATATGCTGTAGCCTGTACTAAGGTGACTGTTTAAAGACTTGTATTTCGAGTAAAAGACCCTATAAAGTACGTAATAACCCGAGATTCTGTATGCTCAGAGTTTAATGTTTAGTGCTTAGAGAGGACAACATTGATCAAATAGCTGTATATATAGCAATCCGCATCTTGCGATGATTACAAAACAGTGAAATAAGGTTTGTTTATGTGATATTACTCTGCAGCACCTAAAATCACCACTCAACATCTGGCACACAGCACCAATTTTACACCTGGCCAATTTTTGCCATACAAAGTATAAATGTTACTTGTTTCTTTCGAAGAAGCTAACTGTTTTGAAGTCGAATCTTATGTTGAATTTGAAGTTTTTGAGCGAGAATGTAGCTAGGAAACTGGGCAGTTAATGTCATTGACTGCTCCATGTTTTATTGCGATTTTTGTTTGATTAAATTTCATTGTGCATATCAGTTATCATGGCTACTTCTAAGCCTTCAATTTCTACACAGATCAGTTAGTTACGTTTTTAGAATGGGGATAAGAGTGAACGCATTGGGTGAAAATGGTGATTTGTTTGCAGGGTCTCATAAACGCATGCTCGAGTGCGTGGAATTTGGATGCGTAAGAATTTCAATTCACATTGCGCTATCTTCATTCGGCCTATTCTCTCCTTGTTTTCATTGGCCGGACTCTACAGCTGAGCAGGCATCTTGTTGAAGGAGAAATTATTTGAGGCAGACAAAAATTTTACTCCGCATTAATCCAAAACACTATCAGACTGCAAACAGGACCATACTATATAATCACAGCAATTACCTCAAAGGCAGCATTACTACTTTTAAGGTAACAACCTAGTATGATATATTTCTATAATAAAATGACTCAATGGTTTTTACCTACAGATGAAAGTTTTTGTGAAGAAGAACACCAACCCGTTATTACTTTAATGGGCCAAGATGTCCTGCGTGGACTTCTTGTAAAAATTCGCGAGGCAGAATATTTTGGTCTCATGGCAGATGAAACCAGAGATATCTCGAATAAAGAACAATTGGTCGTTTGCTGTCGTTAGGTAGATGAATGCTACAACATCAATGAAGATCCGATCCATCAATGGATCCAAACTTACCGGCAATTATTACAAGCGCATGCGTTCAGAAGAAGAGTTTAACAGTTTCTATGACCGCATTGTGAAGGAATCTTAAGGTAAAACAAAAGATCCATTTTTGGCGCGGCAACGAAAAGCACCAGCACGATTCGATGAAGGTGCTCCTGGGCATTGCTTCAGCAGCCTGAAAGCATTTCACTGCCAGCAATATTTTGAAGTAATCGATCTGGAACATCAAGAACTGGTTCGACAATTTGAACTGAAAAGCTTCTCGTTGCTTCGAGATATTGAAGAACTACTCTTAGGAGCTGCCAATGGAAATCCATGGAATAGCAAAGAAATTCTCCGCTTGTAATGAACTGAGAGGGCCTTTTTTGGCTCCTTCGATTAACAGTTCTAACTTTTGATAATACAGCAGCGTGTTGTAAATAAAGATTGTTTTGCCTGATTTGTAAATATAGCAATTATTACTTTATTCTTTAATTTGTGCTGTTTTGAAGGAAGTATAAATTAAAACAAAAAAAAGTGTTGACTGAACTTCCAACTTGGTCGTACTGAATGAGGCTTTAAATCTCTGATAAGACTCTGATATGGCCATTTCCGAGGATCTAGAGCGATCTAATTTGAAAAATTTTCTCGCTCAGCGCCAACCATGGTGGCGCCTCGTGAGCTTCGGCCCCCCCAAGCTTGATCAGGTTCCTACGCCCCTGTCAGTAATTGTTACAGTTCGAGCAAAATATGATGGAATGACCAATGGAACTGATTGTACGCTTTGCAAAATCGATTACAGGGTAGCAGGCTCTAAAAGACCAAGTATTATCTGGGTACAGTTTTTAACCTAGCATAGGAAAAAGTTGTCACCAAAGTTATTGATATTTGTACAATTTAGGAATAACATCAACATGGACCCCCATTGGCTGTGTGCATGGTGTTGGTTTACAATATGGAGGACTAATAAATTCACATATGTAAAGTAATATTTTTGCCCAAGTAAAGATCATTCCAGTTTAAATCTTTAGTCAATGGAAAGTTTTAGTTCTAAGTTAATCATATAAGCATTTCAAAAGATTATATGATGCAGTGGAAATCTTGAATTCGACAAAATTGTTGGTATTTATTCCGTATTTAGCGTAACATGTCATTAATACTTAATCAAATCGTCTATGTAAAAGCCAACAATTTCAATTTTTATTTCCAAATTGTGATACAAAATGATGAGAAAATGCCAAACTTTTAATACATACAGAAAATGTTAGCTTTTTTTGAAAAGTGAATGAAAATTAATGATTTCATAATTTACCATTTGTCCAATATATAATGTCGGCAACTTTAGCTAGACAATACTTTATCATATGTACGAAAGATAGTTAAATTTAATGTTTTTCCACATGAGCATTCATATCTCATAACTTGTGTTCGTTTCCACGAGTTAACATTTACTTTTCTTGGTGTAAAATACATTTAACATTTTTTACCGCGTTTGTCCAAAATGCCTTGTTGTATCTTGCTTACGCACGGTTAGGCAGCTTCTTGGCACGCTTAGGACCGTTTCACATTCCATTAAGCGTGCGTAAAATGCCTTGAGGCAGTATTTAGGCACGGTAAACTTTCACCTCTGATAAATTTTGGGTCGTAATATACCCTCGGATAAAAGACCCAATAATTGTAGTCAGAGTTTAGGCACGGTTAAGCACGGTTACAAAGATATATAATGATAAATAGGCCCGGTTACCTATAGATACATTATTTTGTACTAATTAATGCAGTAATTCATTTCAAACTCTTTCCTCTGTGTGTTAATTTATATTTGACTCCTTTAGGTACTAAATACTGCAGTTTCTGAATAGCGCTGACGTGCACTAGAAAGATAACACTTTTTTCTTAATTTCACTGTGTTACTCCGTTAGTTAATTTTATTGTTGGCACGCACGGTACACCGTGCCCAAAGTTTTCGTTTGTGGTTTTTACGCACGCTTTCGCAAAGGGTATAAAAAATACCCGACGTAAAACAGGCTTGTTATTTTCGTTATAACGTGACCGACTTGTGGACTAGCCAATACAGCGAATTCAACATGGGTAAAACTAGTAGCAGTGAAACTATAAGACTACGTGAGGCCAAAAAGAGAAAGGAAGAGAAATTGCACGAAGAGCGTTCGAAATATTATCAGGATAACAAGGAAAGTATCAACCGCAAGCGTCGTGAAAAGCGACAGAAAGCCAAGGAGTTGAAAGTTGCCAAGCACAACGTTCCGGAAGGTGAAACTAGCCTTACAGATACCAGTGTTACAAAAAAATACGACTGGGCGCTATATAAACGGCGGCAACGGGCAAGAGCTAACGAAATGGTGAAGCGACAGGAGGAGAAGTCAAGGACCAAAAAATCGAAAAGCAAACGCAGTAGCGAAGTGTCTGGCGACACCAGTTTCCCCTCGAGTTTCCCGACAAGAATGGCTAAAAAGCGGAAAGTCGATTTAGTGAGATCACATCTTCCTAAAAGTCCAGCGAAGAAAATAGCTGTTGTAGCTGCACTAATCGAAAGCCCAACGACGAGGAAAGGTCTTGAAAGCAAAGGTCTCGTCAGTTCAGCAGAAAAAAGTGAAGAAGCTGAAGTTGCTGTTTCCGCGATGCGTGACGCGCGAGATGCCATTAATGACACAAAAAATCAACGATCTGATGACTCTAGAGCAGTTACTCAGACAGCTCTTGGTTTTCTCTGTGGTGATACAATTCACAAGAAACGCATGAAGACAAAGGTATCAAAAATGCTCAACGTAAATAGGAAACGTATTGGTAAAGCATTCAATCATCGCACTAAAGTACTTAAAAGCAAGAAATCTTGTTGGACCTATACGGAACGACGAACTAGGTCTGA